GCTCCACTTAAGCAATACAGCTCCAAAAATACAGCTCCATTTCAGTGATACAGCTCCACTTCAGCAATACAGCTCCAACAATACAGCTTTACATCAGCAATACAGCTCCACATCAGCAATACAGCTCCAACAATACAGCTCCATTTCAGTGATACAGCTCCACTTCAGCAACACAGCTCCAACAATACAGCTCCACATCAGCAATACAGCTCCACATCAGCAATACAGCTCTAGCAATACAGCTTCACATCAGCAATACAGCTCTAGCAATACAGCTTCACATCAGCAATACAACTCCAGCAATACAGCTTCACATCAGCAATACGGCTCCGCATCAGCTATTCAGCTCCATATCAGCAATACAGCTCCTAAATAATCTGTTCATGGTGTACAGTTCCCCACAGGGGGAGAACGCTGTTACATGTTTATACAATGTGAGAGCCGACGTCGGCACTGCCCGGCACTGAGTGTTGTCGACCATTCAAACATAGACAAGCCTATGAATAATGATACACCTAGTTTTTCACATTTACATAAAATGCAAGACATCTCTTTGACTGTCCCATACATAAGGTATTTGTCTAAAAGTGTAGCAAGACAAAAGGTGTGTTGCCTCTCCAAAATGCATAATTATTGTGTGGGGGGCACTTAAGTTGTAGCAACATACACATCAGGCTACAACGCCAACATAAACAGCCTTAGTACGGCTTTCAAACAGATTTTATAAGACATTTTCAAATTTGAATCATCAATAACAAAAAAGATGCCCGATGGAAATCCCTGTTTTGTCTCAGTACTCGTGGTCCCTTGGTTTTGGGTTGTTTTTTGGTGACTTACCTTTGCATGTTTTTGTGACGGGTGCCACCGGTGGGCCAGGACATGCTCACCTTTTTGCCAACACCTGTTTTTAGCAGATCTATTGAAGTTTCATCCCATATATTTACAAGCGTGTGAACATTATTCCCGTAAGAGTTACCTCCCTTCAAAATAATTGCGTGATACTGCACGTAGCGACATAAAATATTCGTCACTACTTGGACGAAGTTTCATTTCACGATCTCAACAACGATTCTCAGAAACGTGAGTCAATCTGAAGTTTAAATATAGCTGTCAAAGAGGGAGTGCTGTTTACTCGGTGACATATAACGTGATTCGAATTAGAGTGACTGTGATCTCAAGTTGAACTACATCTTCCAAAGCGGCAGTGCTGTTCACTCGGCGTGTCCGGCTGTACATTAGTTATCAAATTCTATAGCGCAACGTATCTCGACACATTCGTATCATTATAATCAAGAAAGAGTCGGTCGTTTAAGCAATCCGCCAGATAGGTCCCAATGAGTGTAGTTTCTACGTAGTCAGCTCTTGTTTAGTTATGAGTTTTAAGGAATAACGGTGACTGTGACACGCCAGTATTCTTAGAATATGTCTTCAGCAACCCAAGCTTGTCGTGACCCGTGAAGATTCCGGGATAGAATAGGTCTTCAGCAACCCAAGCTTGTCGTGACCCGTGAAGATTCCGGGATAGAATAGGTCTTCAGCAACCCAAGCTTGTCGTGACCCGTGAAGATTCCGGGATAGAATAGGTCTTCAGCAACCCAAGCTTGTCGTGACCCGTGAAGATTCCGGGATAGAATAGGTCTTCAGCAACCCATGCTTGTCGTCTTACGGGATCAGCTGGTCAGGCTCGCTGACTTGGTTAATGCATGTCGTTGTATCTAATTACGTAGATCGATGCTCATGACATCAATCACTGGATTGTCTGTTTCAGACTCGGTTTATACGGACCGGCTCATATAGCTGGACTATTGCTGAGTGCGGCGTTAAACAACAAACAAACAATCCTATCCGTTCTTATTCCGGTTGTGCGGAGTCGCCTTAATGAATGTCCACAATATTGTTATATTATCATCATATCATTCATTTCGCTCGAATTTAGAGACCGCCTCCGTGGTCTTGTGGTAGAGCGTCCGCCCGGAGAGCGGAAGGTCCAGGGTTCGATCCCGGGCCGCGTCATACAAAAAGACGTTAAAAGATTGTACTTGTTGTTACCCTGTCTGGCGCTCGGCATTAAGGGGCTAAAACAAGGACTGGTCGGCTCGGAGTCAGTATACTGTGTCTGAGTGGGGTATTCATGTTAAACTGCGGCATGGTATCTCAGTGAGCTAGCACTATAAATCGGCATCAGTCCGGACTAGTACAAGCAGCCACACACACACATACACGTGCATGCACGTCGCTATATAAGTGCAATAATCTTGAAAGCGACGTTAAACCCCATTTCACCTCACCTCGAATTTAGACATGTGGAATTACTCACAAATTTGAAGATTTACACATCACTTATTTACATTCACATTTCTAAGTTGATTAGATATTGATCTATACACCCTACATCCTCTATAAACACCGTAGTCGACATATATGCTGATTTTGCTGAAAGTTAATTAATTATTTCTTTAAGGTGCTACCTGCACACTCGCCATTTGAAGTGCTGGCTTCAATAGATTATGCACAAGTTTGCATGTCGTTATATTTCAACAGTTAATGTTGAATTTTAAAGGGAGGCGAGTTGCGGGCAAATGTTCAGTCCTAACAAGATTGAAGTCGTTAACTTTGGTTGTCAACTAACTCCAACTTTATGATGTTATCGAACAATAATATATTTATGATCACCTGAAATACACAGAGACGATGTCTGATTCGTTCATTGTAGATATAGTAGTCAACTTTTGACAGGGATATTTTCATTTTTGTCTTGCTATAGCCCCACGTCATTCGTAATAATATCTAGTATGAAGTATCCTTATCAAACGCTGTGTAGTATATTAATGTGTCAAGACTCGAGATCGGACCTGAAACAGTGGAGCACAGTCTCCCGTGTTTGTTTGTTTGTTGTTTAATGCCGCACTCAGCAATATTCCAGCTATATGATGGCGGTCTGTAAATAATTGAGTCTTCCGGCAAGCATAGGCGCCTTTTACAGCAAGCATGGGTTGCTGAAGACCTATTCTACCCCGGATCTGCTTTTGAAAATACATAACTGAAAGACCATTTGTACTGCATGTCATAAAAATCAGCAGCAGCTGGCAGCTTTTTATGAGCCGAGAGCATGGGCATTTGTTGATAAATCAAGACTCAATACCTGGGATCAGAATCCACGATCATACGATGCTTGCATACCTAAGGGACGCAACTCCGCAGAGCCAAATGCGCCGTCTCAGACGACGGGCCACCAATGGAATATTACATTGAAATATGTCACCGCCCTTTGGTAACATAGTTTATCATATATCTATCAATGATATGAGGTGTTTTGCATGTTCGACAGAGCCAACACGGAGACGGTCACAGGGGGCGAAATAACTAGACCCTTGCAATGCATAATCAATGGGCGATCGGTTTTAGACCGGTGTAAGAAATTGGAGTTACGTCCCTTAGTTCGTCGTCTGTTCGGCGTGACACTGTCTTCCTAGGAAAATGTATTGCATTCACTTGCAAATAGATCTAGATACATTTTACAATTTGATGTTATTGTATATGACAGTAAAAAGGTTACTATATGACAGTTTTAATATACCCCACTTCAACGTTCGACTCCCATATGGGTACCAATGTTGGGAATAGAGCCAGTCTTCAGTGTGACTTGCAAATACCTTAACCACTAGGCTACCGTACCACCTCTAACATTTAAGTGAGTATGTGGTTTACTTGTGTATATATGTAGAACACTGTGGTGAAGCTGATATATCCAAGACCCAAACAGACACACATCTAGAGTCGTCATTCCATCAGATGTTCCTGTGTCTAAGGTTTCCTGGAACAGAATCAGTAGTGAGGTGAAATGGGGTTTTAACTTTCAAGATTATTGCACTTACAGTGTCATGCATGCATGTGATTTACTCCGCTTAGACACAGTATACGGAGTCCGAGCTGACCAGTCCTTGTTTTATCCCCTTTATGCTGAGTGCCAGGCAGGTCAATAAGCACCATCATTTATCATATAAATGTCTTTTGGTATCAAGCTGCAGTGAATCATACCCTAGGCCAGCCTTTCTCCATGCAGATGCTATATCCACTGCATCTTCCCGAGGCAAGGGAGTTAACTGACTTCATAAGTCCAGTTTCCACCCTTGCCGAACTAGGCTGGAATTCCTGGGCTCGATCGTAGTGCCACCAGTGGCTACAACGAGTTATGTCCCTCCTAAGGCTCTCCTTTGGACCAATCAAATCCCACCTCTCGCATCACTTGCATTTGCTTCCAAGCAAATGGCAGCGCTCAGTCAAAACGATCTAATCGATAATCAAGATCTATGCTGTGATAAAACTGGTCTTACATCGCTAAGTGCATCAAATCACGTGAGTACCTTGATTAAAAACATGAAAAGATTTGGAAAATATCTGTTGACGAGTTGGCAGTGCACATGCTTTGCAAATCCTGCAATCAACGGAAATCTGCACGACAGTTTACAATCCGGTTTTCAATTTTGATCCACGATTTTGATTGGACTATGCATAGATTCCTTAGTCGAGCAAAAAAGTAACTCCATAATACCAGCCTAGTTTGGCAAGGCTGGAAACTGGACTTTTGTAGTCAGTTAACTCCCTTGCCTCGGGAAGATGTATCCACTGGATCACGAAGGTGGTCAGGAACAGCATTAATCCTCACATGTTCTTTCTTAACACTGAGACCACACATGAAGCTGATGTTCAATTCCCACCTGCAGTCTGTGAACCCCACTGATTGCATGGAAGAGAGCAATATTGTTAGCAGTGCGGGGCGGTCAGGTAGCCTAGTGGTTAAAGCGTTCGCTCGTCACGCCGAAGACCCGGGTTCGATTCCCGACATGGGTACAAAGTGTGAAGCCCGTTTCTGGTGTCCCCCGCCGTGAAAAAGCTAAAAGCGGCGTAAAACCATACTCACTCACTCACTCACTCACTGTTAGCAGTGCCCTCATAACACTTCTTGCTCACACCCATTTCATAAACCAACAAACACATTATTAACACAATAAAACATTTATTCAGTACTAGATCACTGTAGAGGTGTAGATCACAAGTATTTGTCCAGCTTGTAGATCACAAGTATTTGTCCAGCTAGCACATCTGTATAGACATGTGGTAACATGTGATAAGAATAGTCCTATGTTACAATCCTGCATCTAGCAGAGGTTTTTCAATAAATTTGGACATCCATGGACATCAGTTACACAAAATTGAATGAATGTAGATAATTCTCATGATTTGTTTCTAGTACCTCTATGGCGGTAACTGTTTGTCAACCAATATTACATATTCATTTGTATAAACATATATTCCATATTAAAACTTTCTTCATCCTTGCAAATATAATGCTGTGTACTGATTTGGGTACATGTTAAATTGACATACTAGAGAGACAAAATAAAATTAACATAAATAAAACAAAAACAAAATTTGAAGATCTGTACAATTGAAACCATGTCGAAGAGCATAACAAATGGTTTCTTCAGCTATACGCTAATCATAAATAAATTAGGCATAACAGTAGTCTTATTTTTGCACCCCTTGGTTAAAATATATTTCGTAAAATGAAATCTAATATAAAATTCATTTGAAACATCACTGACATTTCGAAATTTCCAATGGATATTTGATTTCATAGCTCACACAACAAGGTGATTCGCAAGTTATTGATTTGTATGTGGGAAATATTATCACACTTGAGCTGTCTATAGCTTTTGTTGGAACAACCACTCTCCTAGGCCAGCTGTGAACTTAGTAAACATGGCCGGCTGGCTATCAGGGGATGATGATGATGTTGTTAGAAGCCATGTATCAGTCTTCTCTTTCTCATCACCGTTATCCTTGTCTTCATCATCGGCAGCAGATCTCATTAGCCAATCAGATTGCGACTTTTTACTGACGTAACTCTGTACAGCATCCCATGCGGGACAGGGCCCAACTGGAGTGGTTGACGATGCTGGCTGGGTTCCCGTCACCTTTAACCACATGTTATGGTCTTCTTTCCCATGTTTGAACTCAAAATTCATACCAGTAATCGACGGAGAGTTTTTGTTAAGGCCTGGTTGTTTTTCTTTAAGCCAATCATCAGGGTTGGACGAGATCCAGTCGAACATGGGCAACCGCTCCTCTACTGGATTCTCATCAAGCTGGGTTCCACTGCCCTTCAACCACTGCTCTTTCTCTGTATCCAGTGACTTCAGGTATCGGGCAAACCCTTCGATCTGAGGCAGGGGAGATAACTTGGCTTTGCTACTAGCAACCTTCAGCCACTTTTTGGGAGAAGACTCGGATCTGGTGAGCTTGAAAGCACAGTTGGGCTGACATAAACATTCGCTGAAAGAGCCACAGGGCTCGTTAGCCTTGCACACGCTCGATGGGACAGCCTGATCGTCGTTGCTAGATTTCTTTAGCCACTGCATGGTGTCCTTGGGTACATCTCGGAAGTAGCGTTCAAACACAGACTGGCTGCTACATGACATGCTTCCAAGGTTCTCGATCTCCATGGACTTGGTCGAACAAAGACAATCGCTGCAGGCTTCCGACTCCTGAAACAAAAAGGGCAATGAGCGAGGATGTTTTTTTCAGTCAGGTTTTAGTATTATTCAAGCGATATCACAAGGGACAGAGAATTGGCTTCACACATTGTACGCAGATGGTGAACAGATCTTTAACACAAAGCTACCCCACCATTATGGCATTGATGAATCCCTCATCTCCTGTCACAACATATATACTACTCAAAGGAGTTAAAGAACACCCAGTGTCTTCATGAGACTATAGTTAATCTGTCATGTGGGTACTGCAACACAGCCCTCCAATTTTTTATGTTATGTTTGTTGTTTTACGCCGCACTCAGCAATATTCCAGCTATATATCGGGGGTCTGTAAATAATTGAGGCTGGACCAAGCAATCCAGTGATTGATATCATGAGCATTGATCCCTGCAATTGGGATACGATGACATGTGTCAACCAAGTTAGCGAGTCTGACCAACCAATCCTGTTGGTTGCTTCTTACGACAAGCATATTCGCTTTTTATAGCAAGCTTGAACACCTATTCTACCCTGGATCTTCAAGGATCATTTGTTTTATGTAGAATATAATAAACAATATTACATTACAACACACTGACTTCATACACAGTTTTGTGACCATCACATCCCTACCACATACATCTTGGTCTCTTAAAATTATAATCACCGCTGCCAACTTTCCCACATTACAATTTGTAGTTTGTTACAATTTTGTATGGTCGGGATACTAATGGGATTTTTTTGCCATTTTGTTCATTTACTGGCCTTACTGGAAATCAGTTGCAAATTTGGAACAATTACCAAAAATTTGTGAGAGTTGGCAGCTAACCAACCCATCATATGTCTCGCTGTACAACCAATGGCGATTGGTTGTGTGGACAAGTGGGTGACAGCATGAGCAACAATTCTTGCCATAAGGGATTGATCACACACAATTAGCATGGTTACACACTGTAAACATGCAGTCCTTATAAGATTACTCTTACGAACAAGATCGGCCACTGGGCATGAAACTCTCACGGGGACAGTTCATCTAGCCTCAAGCTATCATTTTTGCTTACAAGAACTTCAGCAAAATACTTCCCATCATCATCAATAAGTGTTTGTATACACTTCGTTTGGCCATTACATGTAAATAGGATAAATATGTAGGTCTATTTTGAGGCTAGTAATGGAGGGAGGCCATGTATAACTCATGAAAGTCAATTGATCCTTTTCGAAATGTTTGTGCGAACCCTATCATTGCCTCATATTGCAGCCATGTGTAGAGCAGACAGATGCTGTAAGGAAGTAGTCAGGACACTAGCTTGATTCCATCTCACTGAAACTAGGCTGTAGCTTAGCTGGTTAAAAATAGCTACTGCATAGTGAGGTACCGTTTGTATTCACGGATGATGGAGGAACGTAGCAATTACCAACCCTTGAAGTATTGACACAGAAGGGCTACCCCTGCTTTCAAGAATGACTGGATAGAGAATGTTTGACTTGGGACAATGCGGTGGATGGAACTAAAATTATTCAGGACTGCTTATTATGATTATCTAACCTGACCACCCACCTTCTTTGTGTTGCCTAAGAGCCAGCAGTCCTGGTCGGACGGGATGTGTCGGAACAGATCAAGTACCTCCTTCTCAAGCGCCTTCTCACCCCCCAAGGAGCTGGATTTGAGCCACGCCTCCACAGGGCTGGGGTAGGTCTTCTGTAGTGGGTTGAATGTGGGTGCTTTCTCCAGTACGGGGAAGGCGGTCGTCACAGAGTGGCTGGACTTGCGGGAGCTGCCTGCTGCAAAAGCAACCACATGTTCTGATTTCTTGTTATATAATGACTCGATTTTCTCATACTATCTGAACAGAAATTGTTTGCATATATTAGGACAATAAGAGTAGTCAGTTCATGCATATACATAAGAAGGAATGTTTTGAATGGAACACTAACTTTATTTACTGGTTACTGAATAAAGGTTTTTCTTATTTGCAGTCTTTTGACTCTTGTCAAATTTGTTGGATGATAAAACAAATAATCAGACTGTGTACCCTTGATCAAAGATCAATGTCAGTGATGAAGTAACAGAGATGACCTATCAACTGTCCGGTATCAAGGATTATTAAACCCCAGCATAATTATGAAATTTCATTGAATCCATACATTCTAAGACGCTGTCTCATTTTTTGTCAATCTCCAAAAAAAAAATTCTTCTGTCCACAACGGGGGCCAAGCTTACCATCTCTGTCAATGATCTCAAAATCTTCGTCCTCCAGGTCAGGAAACTGCTTGATCTGACTGAGCCAATTCTGGATGCTGGCATCGCCGGGCAGCTCTTGGGTCACTGTGCGGGCGGATGTCTCGCTGCGTCGGAGCCAGTCGGAAGTGTTGGGACTGAGGGATGGAAAGGAGAACCTTGGTGCAGAAGTGGACGACGTGGTCACCGTGGAGGGGCGACACAGCCAGTCCTGCGGGCGCTTTGACAACTTGGGGATGTTGACACTGATCTGTTAAACAATACAGGGGTGTAAAATACATGACAAACAAAAACTATTTTACATTACCATGATTACAGTACAGATGGAAATGTGAATCACCAACGTGCACATACCACACAGTCACAGGGCAAGATTACAGTGGCAGTTCTGCCATCATTATGAATCAACTCAGTTTACAACAATATCCAACATGAGTTAAATTCCTTGACATTAATATTCTTCCATCAACAACCACCCCCATGTTGAAACTTACATTGCTGCTAGCAGTCCTGGCACGGTTGACCTCCTCCACAGTCTTGTAGAAGACATGGTGGTCTGCATCTTCGTACTCCTCAAAGTGGCGTGGCAGGCAGGTGGATGGATGTCCGTGGGCAACGAAGGCACTCTGCAGAGGGAAGCCAGAAGCATCCACACGGCCATAGTCCAGAATGGATTCTCTCAGCGTAGACTGGTCGGCTTGGAAGGTAATGTAGGGACTCTCCTCCGGCTTCAGGTCAGAAATATCAAGTCTGCAAATAACAAAATAGTCTTTTAAATTGTTCTGAACAGAAGGAAAACTTAATATTCAAAGTTCACTAATTATGCTAATAAGAGCCTTGGTTTGATTCCATAACAAACCTAAACTGTAAACAGGTACTTGGTATGAAACTTTGTGTTCACTTCTCAAATAAAGCTTTGTTCTGTATAAGCACCCTGTTGACTAAAGCAAATAGTGGAAATGTCACTCACTTTTCCAGGGCATCGGCCAGTCTACTGTCAAGTTCATCGTCTTCGTCTGCCAGGTCGAGGGAACTCTGGAGGACTCCCAGGGCCTTGTTGAGTCTGACCTGTTGTTGGTGAAGGACCTCCTCCTTGGTGCTCACCACCAGGTCGACCTGGTTTAGCAGCCACACCTCCCTGTTCCGCAGGGCTTCCAGGTGCCGGCTAATTGATGTGTGGATCTGGGATTTGATCTGAAGGACAAGCAATGACTTGGCTCCTTACTGCAGTCAAAGTGAGGCAATAGAAAAGTACTGAAGGAAATAGAGAAAAATAGGTTTTGGCCCTCACCTGTGATTATTTATAGAAAGATTAGCAGCATATGTAACAAGAAAACAAGTGTTATTAATTTCCCACGCCATGGGTCAAATTAGAAGTTTGTCTGTTCATATAGTAGTGAACATAAACTATAAAAAAAGAGTCCTATAAAGCCTTAAGAAGAGATAGGATCTAGGGTCACTTTATGTCATCAGAAAAAAATATTAAAAGGGAAATTAATACACACAAAAGGCTGAATTGTTTGATAGGCATTACTCAGAAGTTGACGGATGACAAAATAGACACAATTTATGGATAACAACTTCTTTAATACTGTAAAGGCATATTTTTTTCAGAAATTGTGGCACTCGTTCGCCAACGTCCAGAAATAAATTATAACATTGGACACCATATCAGCCATTAAAACTGCAGTCAGCTCTTGTTGAGTACATTTCTTTTAATAGATAAATTGCACAACAAGATACTTTCGTTGCTCCCAACCAATTTAGCTTCAAATGACATCTTAGCTGCAGTATCAAAGACAGCTGACATGGATTTCATCTCCTGTATTCTTTCAACACGCTGTTTCGAAACAGACACTGTTATATCTGCACCAGACTTTAGTTAATCACCATAATGTCTTGCCATTAACCATAGCTGACTGCCCTTTTACCCCAGAACAATGGGTGATGGCACAGAGAGGTGTCCCAGTTGGATCGCAGCTTACTGGTTGCAGGAGATTAGCTAATCAACACCCAGATGACACCTTGCCAACACTGATTTACTAAGCTACAGCATGTGCATCAATCAATTATCAAACATCAATTGCTTTTGTTTACCTCTCCAGCATTGTAGCTGAGGTGTTTAATGATGGAATTCAGATGTTTAATGGCTGCTTCCAGCTGCTCAATCTTCTCCTGTGTCTTCTCTGTCATCATGGCAGCAGTCAGCACTAGGTAGGTCAGTGATCTGTTAACAAAATTCACACGTGTGATGAGCTTAACAGACAAGGAGACATCACCTATATTACCATGGTTACACATAGAGACTTGTGAAGTTTTTTAATTATCGCCACACTCAGCACTTTTCTATCAGCGATGGCGGCCTGTAAATAATAGTGTCTGGACCAGACAATCCAATGATTGATATTGTGAGCAACAGTCAAACCGTAAGGTACAATGACATACAATCAACCAAGTCAGAGAGTCTGACCACCCAATCCACTAAGTTGTTTCCTACGACCAGCATTGGTTGCTGGGAATCACTCCTAACCCAGAATCAAGAAAGCATTATGAAGTCACCAACACTGACTGTCTTCATAACATTGCTCTCCTCAGAAAAACACATAGATTTCAATACTTACTTGCTCTATTGCACAACCTCATGGCCATAGCCATACATAGTAACATACACATAGAAAAACACATTCATTTCAATAATAGTCTTTAGTTACATGGCGATTCAACATGACAACACCCACACTATGGCAGTAAAGGGAACGAGGGTGACAAACTGGAAAAATATCCTGGTACACCAGTACTGAAGAACCTGATCACGTATACACCACCCAATAGATTACGGGTATCCGGGTTTTCACGCGAGGATCGACAACTAATTTGACTAAGAATAATTTATGATAATCACTCCTGATCGACAATAAATCTATCCAACTGGCAAAGTGTTACTGAAATACAGTAATATTGTCAATGACTGGAAATCGAAATCGGTAAAACAAAAGTTTAAAGTTAGAAACAGCATTGACACAATGAGTTTATCTCGTCAAGGTCAAGGCCAATCACCATTTCGGGAATCACGATTTGCACGTAGATCTACGACAAAGCCCAACTGGATGAGAAACTGTCATCAGGTTATTAACTCTTTTCCAACACATAGCTAGCAACACTTATGAACCAGACTCTAGATACTTGAACTTAGCCAAAATCGACTGGGAAGAGTATCCTGTGAGATCACGTTTCTCGATGACACGTGAATGCATAGATCTTTCACGCAAATGGCGAACGCACCGGCAATGTGTTCGCCAATGACGGCCATCGTCGTGTTATGGAAAGCGGTACTTAAGTTAATCTGATGGGATTAAACACATAGATATTTAACTATGTAGCATTGTATCTACACCGAAACGTAAATGAACTGAAACACTCACCAATTATTCGTGTCTAATTCACAACAATGTCATCTAACCCTCATTGTATATACAGCCGAGCTTTCGTTATAAATAGACCCTAAGTGGGTCTGTCCCAGATTTGGCCAATCACATCGATTGTTAGAAACGCGCACTTGTCAATTTATATAACATTAACTCTCATTGGTTGTGGTGATACTAGACAGGACATTCCTTCAGCCAAACTTTTGACACTCGCGCATGACAGATGAAACGGGTTTCAATATAAAAGGTAAAAATATTCACAACACATATAGATCTACATATGAGAAAGGTAGAAATATATAAAATATGTGGTGGCATGATAAATCACAATCCTAAATGCAGTACAGACCTTTTTAATTCTGATTATTCAGATCAGGTGCACGAAGTAGGCCCACATGACATTATGACACAAGTTAACAGAGCCAGCTGGCCAGACAATATGTGTAGGTATGAGGGACCCCATCGACGAGAATTTTCTTGTCAGGTGGGGTTAAGAGATTAGATTGTTAAGTGACTTATCATTAAACTATCTTTAATCTATGTAAACAAAATTATAAGTATAAAACAAGTAACTGAAAGATCGATAAGGTCAGTACATAAAATTTAATAAGATTGATTCAGAAGTCACCCAAGTTATAGAACTTTTATTTTTGTATGTCCGTCAAGTATTCAATTATTACTCTTAAATAAACAGAGATGATTTTTCAGTTTCACACAGGATATTAATTAAATTTAATTAATTGAACAGTTTCTAACTCTAAACCAAGACTGGGAAGGGGATGAACATTCTCACCATGGAGCAAAACATTTTGAAAGGATGATACAGTTTAGAAATCAAGTCAGTTAAGTTTGTGTTTAAGAGGGAGAGGTGTTTCTTTAGTACAGGTGAAGGGAGGTGAAAAAGAGTTTAACAGTTTTATAGTGCTAGCCTCTTAGATACTCACACAGATTAATAATCTCTGATTTGCATGCTGCTATTTTCTTCAAAAACACATAGAAACATCTGATAACAATCAGAACTTAATTGTTATGAAATACCTTTGTCTGGACGTTGGCAGGTTCGGGTCAGGTGTAGACTATCTGTGTGTGTCCTGTGTGTATGGGGCAGTCTCCTGTGGTTGGTTCTACTGGAGAATCAGCATTGCCTGATTACTCTTGTTGTGTCACAGACAAGATAAGTAACTACGACCAATCCCAGCCCAGCTGGCAGCCAAGAGGTCATCCTTTCACAAGTCTGAACTGGAATTCACTTGTGAGGCCGAGCATCCGGCCAGCTGACAGTCCTTGTAAATTTGATTCAAGTCATTCAAATGCTAACTCAAATATATATCACTAGCTGTTGGTGAGTGACACTTCTCACTGATTACATCTAAGCCTAAACCATCAGGCCATAGAGCGTAGTCCTTCTTGATGACATTGACTTGAAGTCATTTATTTCGGAGAGACGGTCAGCTACTCAAATGTATATAAACAGAGCAGCCAAAGAAATTCTAGCAACTTCTAAGAATCAAAAATGAAATCATATCAATACGAAAATAGAAATTTTATCAATACTAAAACAATAGATATGTGTACCCTACTCACACACACATGTCCCAAAGAGGGACAGGTCAGCCGAAAAGGCAGAAGGCGACCTCTTTAACACTTAAAGCAACAACAACAACATTTGTGTCCACTGATCGTAGGTTAGGGATGTTCTAATGAACTCTTAGCCCGGTGAAGATCCGGGGTAGAATAGGTCTTCAGCAACCCATGCTTGTGACCCGTGAAGATCCGGGGTAGAATAGGTCTTCAGCAACCCATGCTTGCCGTTAAAGGCAACCATGCTTGTCGTAAGAGGCGACTAACGGGATCAGATGGTCAGGCTCGCTGACTTGGTTGATGCACATCATCGTATCCCAATTGCGTGGATCGATGCCAAAGATGTCAATCACTGGATTGTCTGGTCCAGACTCGATTATTTACAGACCGCCGTCATATAGCTGGTATATTGGTGAGTGCGGCATTAAACAACAAACAAAACAAACTAATTAACTTTGGTTCAAACAGAAAGTAAAATAACCACACTTTTAAAACCATTTAGGGGCAGAGGTAGGTCTGTCATAAAAAGTGCCACTATTTGCAATGCAGAGTTGCATCCCTTGTATGTTGGGTCGATCCTTGGTTTGTCAACACTATACACATTGCTCGTGTGTCTCACCAAAGTCATAAATGTCTAAGATCTGCATTATGTCTGCAGGCCTTCGTCCCACAGTAAGCTGACATGCTGTTCAAAGTTTTGTTAAACCAAATTCACTCATTCACTAAACGTATATATACTCACCGACAAAAGAAACGTGAATACCAGACATGTTGGTTAATAGATGAAGAATTTCTCATATTCAAGAGATATTAGATTGGTTCGATACACAAACGAACATACCGGTATGGTGTGTGAACCGACTCTCATGAACGCATCATATGTGACGTCATAAATCCATGACTCAAGATGCACCATTTGTCTCATGCAGGATAAGTGTGTAAAGTTTGGAAATCAAGTGCAGCATATTGTGATAAGAATGTGAACACTCTGTGGTAACACTTGACTGATTGTTAGTTTTGTCATTAAGTGGTACACATCTCTACTTACGTACATACTTCTCTATATGTTTCTGTAGTTCGCATTTATTTTGGCGGTGAGTGTATTTCCACAAACACCTTTTGCCAGTCAGGTTCACTCATTGTTAGTATGACTGTTGAGGGCCTGTAGGATTTAGCACATGACTCAAACAACACATATACATGATGTTTTTATGTTGCTCACATTATAAAAAGACTGTTTCATTAGGGACAATAATAACAATGTCACATCTTAGACAGGTAATTGAAAACAGACCTTGGAACTATGTAATATATGACTGACAAACTTTGATTTCAGGTTAAAATGAAATAGAAAATATCAGTTCTCTCCTGGATGAGTGCAGCCGTTGAAGATGGGTGGTTTCAACACACACTTTGTGGTAGACAGCAACTCGCAGACTGCTGTGGGCGGGTTCAGTCACCCCAACAAACCAAACTGGATCACAGCCCATGCTATCGCAACTGAATGTAAGTGACAATATATTTATTGTTTAAAATAATAAAATATTGCCTTCTTGTCCATGACTGGCCAAGTTTGCCAAAATCCGAAGCTGGATGCTCTGTTCGAAATAAGCACCTGCCCGTAGGCCCGTGGCAGGTAGATCTTGTGTCGGGCCATAGATTCAGATTGTACGGGTCCTTATAGCCTGCAGTAAATGTATGTGTCAATATATTTGTCCCTATTAGCTGCAGTTTTTTAATTGTGGGATGGAGGGTTTCAAGTCTGTGGTTGTATATAGGGGTGACTATTGGTCTGGAAATCACTATTGCGATAACTATTGATATTGAAAGAAACTATTGCGATAACTATTGATATTGCAAGCAACTATTGCGATACATATCGGTAGTTTTCAGTGTATCTTTATACACGGATGTTAGAGTTGAATTAAACCTTGGAACTGAAGTTTCCTTTGAATGTGATAACCATAAGACTTCCAAACACTCAATTCTCCACCCAAGACTGTCAAAAACCCCACTTGACTGTCACACTCTGCCATATTACTTTAAGAAAGACTGGTTGCTAAGCATCAAGGGCAGTTAACTCTTATCCTCATTCGGCTGCATTCATGTGCGTGTTTCGGTGATTCAATCGCATGATATGGTAAATACAATCAAAACTATCAATTTCTGTTGATCGGAAACTGATTTAACAATCAATTTATTGACTTTAAGTGCTTACCAATAGCAATATATCGGTATTTCTATTTATCATGACACCCCTAGTTGTATATGTCAGACTCTGCCTGCATGTCCATGGTTCAAAATTACGCATGAAAGTCAAGTCATGACAGATTAACTGGCATGACAGATTAATTATAGTAATAGAATTACATTTTCAAACATACCAACAACAAAACAATACCACCGTCTTCCACACTCACTGCACAAACACTGTCATAGCACAGTCCCAGTTCCACAAGTGTCATGTCTTCAGGTTTTATTTCTAACTTGCGTTTTACCAGCTATGTGTTTCTGTTCTCAGAAAAATAATGTTTGAATCTGGCAGTTGAATACATGAATACATCGAAAAATCAAAATGCAAACTTTATGAATCAGTTTACACATAATGTTTGTTTTTTTCAAACCTCAAACTGAAAAAATACACGATCAATCCTAAATGAAAGAATTGGATGGTCCTAACGTTTTTTAGTTTATCTGTAACGTGTGACATGTGTACCCTGTGATCATGTATGGTGTGTATCTTCATCTATCTGTGATGCAGCTGTGACCGTGGCCCCAGTGATCAGTTGGAGCACTCTCCTGCCATGTGGTCTGCTGTACCAGTAACATGTCCTTGAATACAGTCAGATAGCCAGGCATGTAGCCTGTACACAGACAGCAACTGACCTCAGTACAACAGACAGCTGATTGTTTAATCACGAGTGTGCCATATGTTCAAGTGCTTTTAACAAAATATGATCTGTGGATGTTTGTGAAACAATGCAGGATAGCTTTCACCGTGGACTTTGTTTCAAGTTGTAACAATACTTGATGTCTGTTGTTTTCATGAATGGGACAATTGCTTGATTATTAAAATTTATTTCTTTTATAATTGAATTTAGAATTACATTGATGCATTTTTTGTGAATGTTTGAAAAATATGTTTAAAAAATATGTTTTTCAAACACCCCAAAACTTGTTTGCGTGATCTTATATCTTTTAATTAGCTGACTAAACTTCTCACAACATCAATTCAGTGGTGGGGTAGCCTAGTGGTTAAGGCGTTCGCTTGTTATGCTGAAGGCCTGGGTTTGATTCCCCACATATGTACAATGTGTGAAGTCCCTTTATTGGTGAAAAAACTCACCCGTTTTATTACAATTCAGTACTTGATTATCGATCAGATCGTCTTGACTGGGCGTCGCCATTTTGTTTGAAGCAAATGCAAGTGATAATCTGGTTGGTCAGTAGGAGGGACATAGAAGGGACATAACTCGTAGTAACTACTGATGGCGCTACGGTTAAGCCAAGAAATTCCAGCCTTGTTCGGCAAGGGTGGAAACTGGACTTTTACAATCAGTTAACTCCCTTGCCTCAGGAAGATGGCTGAAGGCCTGGGTTTGATTCCCCACATATGTACAATGTGTGAAGCCCTTTCTATGTGAAACTCACTCACTCACTCACTCACTCACTCACTCACTCACTCACTCACTCACTCACTCACTCACTCACTCAACTCACTCACTCAACTCACTCAACTCACTCACTCACTCACTCTGGCTTGATAACATACTCCTAGGCAAAATGTAGAGATAATCAGAATCTTGAATATGCTACCCCCGGCCTTGTCACCCAAGACATGGGTGGCCATGTGGTCTAAGGTGTTAAAGCTCCTTGTGCAGAGTTGTGCCCCTTAGCTGCCAGGATCAGCTGTTGTGCTTTTGAATCCCATGCTTGGCCTAATCATGCTACAGGGCATGTCAGCACCTTACCTCAGTCCTGTGTTGGACAGGGTATACTGAATGCCAAAGAAAATCCTAAATATTTTTTATAATTATGATATATTAGGGCTGATAACTCCTTGTAGTTTCAATTAATTCATAATGTCAAGGTTGCCTTACCGACACACATAGAAATCACATTTTGTGGAATACACGTACATTGTGCAGATTCTTGTTGTGCCAGAGCTAGGTATACCTTCATGCAGATACAGTGGACATGGTGGACAAGGGCAAGGAAAATGGTGAATGTATGAACGTACTTTATGAACATTATTTTAATTAACCTATTTATTTTTTCATTGAGAAGTATTCTTCTGGTTGGCACTCTTAAATCCCAAAAGACACACCTGTATGTCTGTATGGAGTGCCCAGTGTCACACTTTAAACATCTAGATCAGAATTCGCCTTCAGCAACCCATGTTTGTCGTGAAAGGCAACTATGCTGATTGTTAGCGCCAACTAACGGGATCGGGCGGTCAGACTCGCTGACTTGTTTGATACATCCCAATTGCATAGATCGATGCTCATGATGTCAATCACTGGATTGTCTTGTCTAGATTCGATTATTTACAGACTGCCGTCATACAGCTGGAATATTGTAGAGTTCTGCGTTAACAAAAAACAAACAAACTAACTTAATGCACATGTTGGTAAATACTCACTGGCTCACTACGTTATCTTGTGCCCTGACTGAAATAGACAGATGCACATACCAGGTCTGTGGTCCATCAGTTCACAGATACCGACACTGATGCAGATGTGTGACAGTGGGGGAGTGATGGCTCACAGATCAGATAACAACTGTTAGTAAATACACTAGATCAGAGATGTTTGTGATGTGTTTATCAGTTCAGGGATCACATGGCTGTGTCACTTGGCTGTGTCAACGGTTGATGCTGTTTGGCCTCTATCTGAGGATACCATGTTGTGTTTGCAAGTTACATGATGTTGTTCAGTATTGATTTCTTTGCCATGAAGGTGTTGATGCAGTGAAAAAGTAGAAGCTGTGCAACATACATCAGTCCTAATATTGTTTGATTTTAAGGAAGAGAATTATGGATGTCAGCTTCTTTATCAGGAAGGAGTAAGCATATACTTCAAAACGTTTTGTTCCTCACAATAAAGAAGTTGACATCCATAAATTCTCTTCCTTATGTGTATCACTTCTAGGGCGGTCGGGTAGCCTAGTGGTTAAAGCGTTTGCTCGTCAAGCCGAAGACCCGGGTTCCATTCCCGACATGGGTACATTGTGTGAAGCCCATTTCTGGTGTCCCCTGCCGTGATATTGCTGGAATATTGCTAAAAGCAGCGTAAAACCATACTCATTCATTCATTGTCAAGATTGACAGATTTTATATTCATTGTATCACTTCTAAATGCCATTCAAAGATTCGATATGATTTTGATGTGAAAAATTATAAAACTCAATGAAAATGAATATTAATAAAAATAACGATAATTCTTAACAATGGCATCATTTATGTCTTTCTTCCCACATCAAGCTGACTCTCTGTGATATAACGGAAATACGACTCAAAGCAGTGTTAAATCAAATTAACTCACTCTCACCCATGTAATAACATCTGTTTAACTGAGCACAGGCCCTCATCGGCTGTGTATACAAACATTGACACTCTGCCCCAAATACTAGAAACTGCTGATCCTTGTCAGCTACTGTTTACCACAACTATCTCTAGAAGACATTGATTACAGCCTAGTTTGTTAATTGAATAGCAACTTGGGTAAAGCCAAATGGGTTTTATATTGAACGTTTCTTCATTAGAGATAGATCTCCGAGTAGGTCAGGAAGCTCATGGACTAATGACGCATGGCTTGATTTCTATAGAGGACAATAGAGGACAATGGGGATTTGTTAGTTGGAATGTGAATCACCATCAAGATCTAACCAAGAGATAAACATTCAGCCCCGAGCATCACATCTACTCTAGGGATAAAACTGGATATTAAACTGATACAAAGCACCAAGTCCCCATTCCACCATCTTCCCGAGTCAAGGGAGTCTCACTGAACTCTATGTCCCTTCCATGTCCCTCAGTAAGATTCCACCTCTCCTTTCCCTTGTATTTGCCTAAAAAAAAAGGGTGGCGCCCAGTCCAAACAATCTGATCGATAATTAACATCTTTATTGTAGTAAAATAGATCTTCCCTCTGGAAGTACATCAAATCACTTGAGCACCTGGATTAAAAACATGAAAAGATTAGGAAAATATCAGTTGACGCCATGTTGGTGGTACACATGCTGGAAACTTTTGCCTCAGGAAGATGCCATTCCACAAAGCGATTTGTAGTGCAAAGGTCATCACACTCCCATGCTTTAAGTAGCATCCGTTTGATTTCTGTGGGGGTTTAAGTGAATAGTCTGTTCTAAAATATGCCCAAACTGAATAGTCTGTTGGCTTTGGTGACAATAATAAATGGTTTGTTTTGTGAAAAATACCCAAACGTCAAATGTTTGTGTTCATAATGAAAATGAATAGATTGTTTGATGGTGCTCCATAAGTAAAT